AGAATATTGTACACGACACGTATGCCGCCATGCATTTGGCTTTACTAAGTGGCCAGTTGCATGCTTTAAGTATGAGGGTCTCAAAACTGGGCAGAGATAAAAAGAAAAGCAAGGACGAAAATAATCGGGAATTATTGCTGTGTGTGCAAGATCATAAGGATCTGTTGGAGTAGGTTTATTAAAAACTAAATAAATTATTATATATTCAATTTTTGTTTGTTTTATATTTCCCTAGATATCGCTGTAAACTAGAAGAGTTTATATCTTTCTATATGTTTTTGCAAATATTTTGTACCACTGTAGTTCTGTGTGTTACCATTGTTTTTGTGATTTTATTTACTACTGATCCTTTTACCAAGATGTACTATTGCTCGTACTTTTTAGCTATGGCGGGTGAAATTTTACCCGTTTGTTATTTTGGCAGTTTGATGGAGTATGAATTTTATAATTTAACTTATGCTTTGTTTACTTCAAATTGGCTGGAACAGAATGATATATTTAAGAAAAATTTTCGAATTTTTATCGAGTCCTCTAATAAGCCATTGTATCTTAATGCCTGGTTTTTTAGTATAAATTTAAAAACATTTTTATTGATTTGTAAAAATTCATATTCGTTATATGCTCTTATATCGACTTTGAAGTAAAAAATAAATGTAATTAATATTTTAATTTTCTTTTAAATAAAAAAAATATATATTTAAATATATTAAAAATTGTATTGATAATTTTTTAGATAAAAATTAGCAGCCAGTGCTGCCAGATTAGTAGATTTTGATAGCAATTGGGGATAGATTATTTGGTTTGGGGATCTGGTCATTTGTTGGGAATAATCAAACACTTTTGGGGAATTTTTGGGGGATGACACAATAGGGATAAGCTGAAGATGGAATAAAACCTCACACGTTACATTAGTCTGGGAGGACAAACGAAAGGCGGCACATAAGTAAATAATAGGCTCAAGAAAGCGAGAGTGACATTCGGACGATTACATTCAGTATAAAGAATCAATCTTAGTATATTAAATGCTAATGTAAAGTCAACTCTGTTGTACGGAAATAAAAACCTCAGAATCATATTCCAGATATTCTGGCTCAACAACACAGATCTTTGGAACTTTGTCAACTAGAAATCATCAGAAAGAATCTTGATAGTATCACAAGGATGGAACTAGAGTGGAATCCTCAGGACTCAAGAAGCCGAGGCCCATCAAAGAACACGTGGAGGCGCGCGAAATTCTCTAAGAACTAGGACACCTGCCTTGACGGCCTTATTTCACGGTGGTCTTTCATCCACTGGGTAGACTAAAGACGGTCCACCATACGTCCCTGAATCCTTTTATGAAGAACTCAGGTGGCAATTTTTGTACATGGCTTAGCCGGTCCATGTACAAGCACTTTGCTGAAAAACTCGAGCTATCTAATCTCTTGCAATAGTAATCCCGTTGCGAAATGACAGGCAGAATGGGATCAATCACAATGCAAACCCCGACAAGGAAAAAGCAATCACTGGTCTAAAGGCAATAGAAGGGGCGACTACCCCAACATCAGGTGAAATCAATCTTCCGGTATACCGGAAGGTGACCACCCTTATGATGTCATGAAAGATTGCATTATTTAAAATGCAATCCCCATCAACTAATGACCCATTCCAGTGCATTCCTTAACCTTTTAAAGCCCGCTCAACCACCGGCCACCCGTAGTGCCACATTATATGGCACTCTGGTTAGACCCCATGACAAATCATTCCAAGGAAAGGTCGAGGATACATTTGATCACCAGTTTATTATCCCGGCAGACTAGAGGCATTGGTAGCACCTCTATATCCTGGGATTGCAATACACCAAGATGGAGTTTTTCATCAAGGAAACATGCCCCGAGGGCATGGACCATAAAGTCCACTTTTTATAGATTTTCATTCTATTTATATTTCTAGGTTTAATATTAAAAAAGATTCAAAAAGTACCAGTTTAAGAACAAAAAAAGTACCACAAAGTTTAGCCTTATACATTTTCATTCCATTAGAATCCTATAAAAGTACCAATTAAAAAAAACGAAAAAGTCCCCTTTTATTAAGGGAAAAAAAGTACCAGTTGAAAAACAAAAAGTACCAAACAAATTCAACCTTTTACAATTTCATTCTATCAGCATCCTATATGCCTGATTATATATTTTAGAGGTTACCTCGGATTTTTGCTCATATTACTATTATTTATGAACCGATTTTGGTAATTTGAAAAAGCGATCTTCTCAAAAGCATTATTGCAGATTTTGATGCCAAAGATATCAGGGGTTTTCACAAAAATGATTTTAGCAGAAACACAGAGACAGACGGTCTGAAGAAAGCATACTTTAGTATACATATCTCGAAGCAGGAGGAGTATACTTAAAATAGATCTTAAATCTTTATTTTAAAGTCCTTAAATTGAACTTTCAGATGATATAACAAATTTTAAAAATAAAGATGTCTTCTCGTTGTTATAACGTCTGAAGTATGGCCAAAAAACGAGGCTTTTTTTAAACTTAATGACACGATATCTTGAAAACTTAATATGATGGATACATTCTAAGGCTAAATTCGGATTCGGAAATGTTTACTTTGGTTTCTGGTTTATAAATTTGTTGGTCTGTGCTATTAGAATATATACTATGGAAAAGACTATATCAAATTTAGCACTTTTACTTGCTATAACTCACCTTTAAAGTATATTTTAGTAAAAGGTAGATAAACTACTTTCATTAGACTGTTATCACCAAAAACAATATATAACTCTTTTTAATTTGTTTAAAAAACAAAGATGATTTTCCCGTTAGCTTATGGGTCTCCTTCAGCTAAAGTTAACTTATAATAATGAAAAAGAATTTATTGGAACTTTAGCTATTGGCAAATTATAATAATTAGGATCATTATGTGTTGCAAGTGTAGATATTTTAAAGAAATTATAAAAGCCTATTTAATAAGACAATTATTTATAATTTCCCTTTAAATTAAACATAATTAGAATTATAACACCTTTCCCATTTAGCACCATAAACCTTTAAATGCAGTAAATGTTATGCATTAAAAGAAAGAGGGTTGCCAAAGAGGTTGCTTTTTGCATTCTCTTAATGGAAGAGAATTATTATGGAACTAGTTACTAGTATCTAAGGGATTACAATAGGTGTTAAAACTTTAAATTCCTATTTTTATTCTAAAATCCCCTTTTTCTATAATAAACTCTTGGCAGCCCTTATAAAGCCTTATACAAAAATTTAAAAAAAATGCATTAAAAGACTACTATAACCTTTAGAACCAAGTGTTAAAGAGTTTCAATTCTTAATACAACTCGTTAAAAGAACCAGGGGCACGCATTACCGAAAGAAAAACAAACAAAATGATGATCACAATTCCCCAAGTGGAAACTATATTTCGCTCACATTTCATATACTGGCGCATATTGGGTTTTTTACCAACGGAAAAGTATCGTAAACTCTATATAGCCTATGCCATCTTTATAAATATTACGGTAACATTGGCCTATCCGATACATTTGATTATAGGTCTAATCATGAGCTCAACTTTATATGAAGTAATCAAAAATCTAGCTGTAGCAGTAACGGTATTAGTGTGCAGCATTAAAACCATTATAATGTGGTTGAAATTTCAGAATATCGTTAATATGTTGGATATAATAAGGCGGCAAAATAAACGTATTTCTTTGGATAAAGAAGAGGCCAGCTATTTTAATTATGTGGTTTTACGAGATTTGGATCGTATATTGAAAATGTTTATTACTTTGTATACAGCTGCGGGGGTATTTGCTGAATTATCGGTTCTAGGAAATGGTTTATTGGGTGGTAGCTGGTATCTGATGTATCCCGCTTACTTTATATTTGATCCCTATGCTAATACAACTTTATATATTGTGGCTCATGTTTATCAATTTTTAGGTGTATCCTTTCTTATACTACAAGATATAGTCAATGATTCTTTTGCCACCATGCATTTGGCTTTATTGAGTGGTCAGGTACGTAGCTTGAGTATGAGAATAACGAAATTGGCTGTAGACCCCAAAAAGTCTCAATTGAAAAATAATCAAGAATTATTGGATTGTATAGCAGATCATAAGGATTTATTGGAGTGAGTATAATAAAATAATATAAAAACTTTCATTAATTGTTTCTCTTATTATTCTTAGATATCGCCAAAAATTGGAGGAGGTGGTCTCTTTCTATATGTTTATTCAGATACTTTTCACTAGCATTAATATGTGCTCTACCGTGGTATTTTTGGTACTCTTCACCAGCGATCTCTTTACCTTGATCTATTATTTTGTTTATTTTCTTTCGATGGCTGCCGAAATTATGGCTGTATGTTATTATGGCACTGTTATCGAGAGGGAATTTCAGAATTTAACTTATGCCATATTCTCTTCAAATTGGTTGCAACAGGATAAAGTATTTAAGAAAAATTTAAAGATTTTTGCCGAGGCCACCAAAAAGCATTTGTATATTAGAGCTTGGCTGTTTTATGTCAATTTGGATTCGTTTATATTTGCCTGTAAAAATGCTTATTCGATGTTTGCCTTAATAATGAATGTGAAGTGAACTTTATATTGGACGTAAAAGTGGAGATTTTAATAGATATTATTTAGCACAATAATTGTAGTGTACACTTATGGTTAGCAATAGTTTTAGTTAAATGTTTTTTTTAATAAAAATATTGTAAGTAGATAGCACAGTCACGAGAGATTTATTTTGAAGTTGGGAAATTTATAATTTTAGAAAAATTGCGATACTGGTGTCAATTATGAAATTCCCTAAAGGAAAATTTTTATGGGGTATCTAGGGTTAAGTGAGAGCAGATTATTACAAATCAGTAATATCATTTAGGTAATTTAAAACTTAATTGTGCCGATTTCTACAGAGAATCAACTATGTCGTCGTGAAAACAGCTCCACACAAGGTTTATATGGACTGCCAGCTAGCCGGACGAACTGACACGTCTTTATCGACTCAGAAAGTGATCCTGAGTCAATTTATCTATCTATCTATCTATCTATCTATCTATCTACCTATCTATCTATCTATCTATCTATCTATCTATCTATCTATCTATCTATCTATCTATCTATCTATCTATCTATCTATCTATCTATCTATCTATCTATCTATCTATCTATCTATCTATCTATCTATATATATATCTATCTATCTATCTATCTATCTATCTATCTATCTATCTATCTATCTATCTATCTATCATCTATCTATCTATCTATCTATCAATCTATCTATCTATCTATCTATCTATCTATCTATCTATCTATCTATCTATCTATCTATCTATCTATCTATCTATCTATCTATCTATCTATCTATCTATCTATCTATCTATCTATCTATCTATCTATCTATCTATCTATCTATCTATCTATCTATCTATCTATCTATCTATCTATCTATCTATCTATCTATCTATCTATCTATCTATCTATCTATCTATCTATCTATCTATCTATCTATCTATCTATCTATCTATCTATCTATCTATCTATCTATCTATCTATCTATCTATCTATCTATCTATCTATCTATCTATCTATCTATCTATCTATCTATCTATCTATCTATCTATCTATCTATCTATCTATCTATCTATCTATCTATCTATCTATCTATCTATCTATCTATCTATCTATCTATCTATCTATCTATCTATCTATCTATCTATCTATCTATCTATCTATCTATCTATCTATCTATCTATATCTATCTATCTATCTATCTATCTATCTATCTATCTATCTATCTATCTATCTATCTATCTATCTATCTATCTATCTATCTATCTATCTATCTATCTATCTGGATAATAAATATTAAAGCTTTTTCAATGTGGCAATTATTTCTAATTTTCCCATGAATTAAACATAATAAGAATATTACCACCACCTTCACTATTTAGGACCATAAACAGTAAACGCAGTTAATGTTACTTACGCATTAAATTGCGTTATAAAAGGTAGGTACATTTTCTTTAACGAAATGCAGTTTAATTTTAAATATAAAGTTTTAGTCAAAAATTCCAATTTATTCTTAAACTCTAGACATTTAATTCGTGGACTGGTAACTTAGGTTAAAGGGAACTGTTTGGATATTTTTGTTAAACTATTATTCTATTTTAGAATTCTCATCTAACTACAATAGCAACTTCGCTAATAACCTCATACAAGAGCTGCAAAAGTAGAATATAATATTTTTAGCAAGGTATTGAGAGTTTCAACTTCAATCATTAAAACGACGCGGACAAGCAACACCGAAATAAAATAACATGACGACCACTATTCGGGATGCGAAAACCATATTTCGCTTTCATTTTATAGGCTGGCGCATATTGGGCTTTTTGCCAACGGAAAAATATCGTCAGCTCTATATAGCCTATGCTGTAATCTTGAATATTATGGTGACGATTGCTTATCCAATACATTTGATAATTGGTCTAATCATGAGTTCGACTTTATATGATGCTATAAAAAATTTAGCTGTGGTGGTAACGGTATTATTGTGCAGCATTAAAACCATTATTATGTGGTTGAAATTTCAGAATATAGAAGATATGTTGGATATAATTATGCGACAGAATAAACGTATTTCTTCGGATAAAGAAGAGACTCGCTATTTTAATCAAATGGTTTTAAGAGATTCGAATCGTATATTTAAAATGTTTATCATGTTATACACAACTGCTGGAGTGTTTGGTGAATTGTCGGTCTTGGTAAATGGTTTATTGGGGAATTGGAGTTTAATGTTTCCCGCTTACTTTGTTTTCGATCCATATGCTAACTCGACTTTATACTTTGTGGCTCATGTTTATCAATTTATTGGTGCATCAATTATTATACTACAAGATGTAATTACTGATTCCTTTGCCACCATGAATTTGGCATTATTAAGTAGTCAGTTGCATACCTTAAGTATGAGAGTCGCTAAATTGGGTAGAGACCCAAAGAAAACAAAAATGGTCAATAATCGGGAATTATTGGATTGTATACAGGATCATAAGGATTTATTGAAGTGAGTAGGTGTAAGCACGATAAATATGGTGCATATATGGGTTGCAATGGAGTTAAAACTAAAACAACATTAAAACCCCAAAACATATTTTATTTTTCTTAACAGATATCGCCAAAAACTACAGAATGTCATCTCTTTCTATATGTTTGTTCAGATACTTTTCACCAGCATTAATATGTGTGCTACAGTGGTTTTTCTAATACTTTTTACAACCGATGTCTTTACCTTGATCTATTATTTTGTTTATTTTGCCTCAAAGGCAGCGGAAATTATGCCATTGTGTTATTATGGCACTATTATTGAGATCGAATTTAAAAATTTAACTTATTCTCTATTCACTTCTAACTGGTTGGAACAGGATAAAGTATTTAAGAAAAATTTAAGGATTTTTGCCGAAGTCACTAAGAAACCTTTGTATATCACCGCCTGGCTGTTTTATCTCAATCTGGATTCGTTTATATTTGCGTGTAAAAACGCTTATTCGATTTTTGCTTTAATAATGAATATGAAGTAAATTTTATGCGAGAAAGTGGAGTTTTTTATTATTAGCACTTGAGTTGTAGATTTAGATTTATATTAAATATATTAGTTGTGAGCACAGCCACGAGATGTTGTTTTGCAATTGTGATTTAAACCTATAAAGATATTCTTTAATAAGAGGTATCATTTTAAATTTCATTAAAGAGAATGGTGAAAATTTTGTCGATAAAAAGATTAGGCGAATTTAAAAATAAAGTTTTGGAGCGGAAAATCTATCTATCTATCTATCTATCTATCTATCTATCTATCTATCTATCTATCTATCTATCTATCGATCGATCTATCTATCTATCTATCTATCTATCTATCTATCTATCTATCTATCTATCTATCTACTATCTATCTATCTATCTATCTATCTATCTATCTATTCTATCTATCTATCTATCTATCTATCTATCTATCTATCTATCTATCTATCTATCTATCTATCTATCTATCTATCTATCTATCTATCTATCTATCTATCTATCTATCTATCTACTATCTATCTATCTATCTATCTATCTATCTATCTATCTATCTATCTATCTATCTATCTATCTATCTATCTATCTATCTATCTATCTATCTATCTATCTATCTATCTATCTATCTATCTATCTATCTATCTATCTATCTATCTATCTATCTATCTATCTATCTATCTATCTATCTATCTATCTATCTATCTATCTATCTATCTATCTATCTATCTATCTATCTATCTATCTATCTATCTATCTATCTATCTATCTATCTATCTATCTATCTATCTATCTATCTATCTATCTATCTATCTATCTATCTATCTATCTATCTATCTATCTATCTATCTATCTATCTATCTATCTATCTATCTATCTATCTATCTATCTATCTATCTATCTATCTATCTATCTATCTATCTATCTATCTATCTATCTATCTATCTATCTATCTATCTATCTATCTATCTATCTATCTATCTATCTATCTATCTATCTATCTATCTATCTATCTATCTATCTATCTATCTATCTATCTATCTATCTATCTATCTATCTATCTATCTATCTATCTATCTATCTATCTATCTATCTATCTATCTATCTATCTATCTATCTATCTATCTATCTATCTATCTATCTATCTATCTATCTATCTATCTATCTATCTATCTATCTATCTATCTATCTATCTATCTATCTATCTATCTATCTATCTATCTATCTATCTATCTATCTATCTATCTATCTATCTATCTATCTATCTATCTATCTATCTATCTATCTATCTATCTATCTATCTATCTATCTATCTATCTATCTATCTATCTATCTATCTATCTATCTATCTATCTATCTATCTATCTATCTATCTATCTATCTATCTATCTATCTATCTATCTATCTATCTATCTATCTATCTATCTATCTATCTATCTATCTATAATCTATCTATCTATCTATCTATCTATCTATCTATCTATCTATCTATCTATCTATCTATCTATCTATCTATCTATCTATCTATCTATCTATCTATCTATCTATCTACTCTATCTATCTATCTATCTATCTATCTATCTATCTACTATCTATCTTCTATCTATCTATCTATCTATCTATCTATCTATCTATCTATCTATCTATCTATCTATCTTCTATCTATCTATCTATCTATCTATCTATCTATCTATCTATCTATCTATCTATCTATCTATCTATCTATCTACTATCTATCGAACTATCGAACTATCGAACTATCGATCTATCGATCTATCGATCTATCGATCTATCGATCTATCGAGCTATCTAATCTATCTATCTATCTATCTATCTATCTATCTATCTATCTATCTATCTATCTATCTATCTATCTATCTATCTATCTATCTATCTATCTATCTATCTATCTATCTATCTATCTATCTATCTATCTATCTATCTATCTATCTATCTATCTATCTATCTATCTATCTATCTATCTATCTATCTATCTATCTATCTATCTATCTATCTATCTATCTATCTATCTATCTATCTATCTATCTATCTTCTATCTATCAGACTCTAAATACCAGACTCTAAATATCAGACTCTAAATATCAGACTCTTAATATCAGACTCTAAGTATCACTCTAAATATCAGACTCTAAATATCAGACTCTTAATATCAGACTCTAAATACCAGACTCTAAATATCAGACTCTAAATATCAGACTCTAAATATCAGACTCTAAATATCAGACTCTAAATATCAGGCTCTAAATATCAGACTCTTAATATCAGACTCTAAATATCACACTCTAAAGGGAGTAGTTTGTAATGCATGGAAGGATAACGTGGTCCACACCTAGGACATCGCAATGTTACATGGAGTATGTTATTCCTATATTTGTATTTGAATTAGTTTTGGACCAGTCCTTTGAGGAGAACTCTTTATTGACACATGTCCCATACTTTTGTAAAAAATACTACATGTTATATTTTTTTTATTACAATTTTACTTAAAACAATATTATTACATTCCGAAAACGTTCGATTTCATATAAATCTCCTTGTTCACTTGATATTCATAACAACCGCAAACAGAGAATAGGCATTTTTACAGGCATACAAAAACGATGTCATATTGATGCGCACCAACCAGGCCATCAAATACAATGGTTTATTAGCCTGTTCGGCAAAAATTCTTAAATTTTTCTTAAACTCTATACTCTGATCCATCCAGTTGGTGGAAAACAAGGCATAAGATAAATTTTGAAATTCAAATTCCATTATGGTGCCATAATAGCAGGCGGGTAAAATTTCCGCCGGCATACAAATCAAATAGATAAAATAGTAAATCAAAGTGAAAGGATCACGAGCAAATAAAATGAGAAACACTATGGTTACACACATATTAATGCTGGTGAAAAGGATCTGAACAAACATATACTGAGAGACGACTTCCTCTAATTTTCTGCGATATCTGTAAAAAGAAATAAATTGTTTTAAAAACTCCTACCACTTGTTTAACAGCTAAACTTACTCTAATAAATCCTTGTGATCTTGTATACACTCCAATAACTCACGATTATTATCTTCTTTACTCTTTTTGGGATCATAGCCGATTTTTGAAACCCTCATACTAAGAATATGAACTTGACCACTTAACAAAGCCATATGCATGCCGGCAAAAGTATCATTTACCAAATTCTGTAGAATTTGAAAGGAAACTCCAAAAAATTGATAAACATGAGCCAAGGTATACAACCACTGATTGGCAAATGGATCAAAGGGGAAAAAAGCGGGATACATTAAACGCCAACTGCCCAGAAAACCATTAGTTAATACAGCCACTTCCGAAGTAAGACCTGCACCCATAAATAGCACCTTAAACATTAGCATTATTTTATCCAATGAAGGAAATACCACCATTTTGTAGTATTCGTATTCATCTTTCGATTTGTTTATACGTTTATCCTGTTTCCTTATTATATCGAAAATAAGACGCACATTTTTAAATTTCAACCATATAGCAAAGGTTTTAATGGAACAGGCCAAACATGTCAGATTGATGGCCAAATTTTTGATAATATCAAATTTCGTTTTACTTTCAAATAGACCAATCATCAAGTGTAAAGGATAACCAATTGTAATGATAACATTGATGAAAATCGAATAGATTATATAGAGTTCACGATAGTCCTTGCCAGGTGAATTGCCCAGAATACGCCAGAAAAAGAAATGTAGATGAAAGGATTTTTCTCCTTGTAGTGAAGGCTGCTGCAGAGCTATGTTCATGTTGCTTACTGCGATTTAGAAATTCAACTAAACTTTTATTTGAAGAGATTCTTAGTTTTTATATAAGACTAATTATAATAGTTTTTTTGATTTTTATTTTAATAAGTATTAATTGATGGAAATTATCCATTTTTTTAACCTGTATTTTTCATTTTAGGTATTTTAAAATAGGTTGGGCTTTTAAAGTAATTAATGGTTGTTAATTAGTTTATAAATTATTGAGACAACAATTATTATTATAACATTTAATTTAAAAGTGTTGGATTTAACACCAACAATTTTCAATAGACATGCCATGCGTGTCATAATTATTAGATGTTTAAGAAATTTTATCAACATGAAATATTTATTAATTACAAAATATTTTTTTTGACTTTCAATTGCAACCCTTTTAAGGAAATCTATCTATCTGTGTATCTAAGGATCTATCTATCTATCTATCTATCTATCTATCTATCTATCTATCTATCTATCTATCTATCTATCTATCTATCTATCTATCTATCTATCTATCTATCTATCTATCTATCTATCTATCTATCTATCTATCTATCTATCTATCTATCTATCTATCTAATCTATCTATCTATCTATCTATCTATCTATCTATCTATCTATCTATCTATCTATCTATCTATCTATCTATCTATCTATCTATCTATCTATCTATCTATCTATCTATCTATCTATCTATCTATCTATCTATCTATCTATCTATCTATCTATCTATCTATCTATCTATCTATCTATCTATCTATCTATCTATCTATCTATCTATCTATCTATCTATCTATCTATCTATCTATCTATCTATCTATCTATCTATCTATCTATCTATCTATCTATCTATCTATCTATCTATCTATCTATCTATCTATCTATCTATCTATCTATCTATCTATCTATCTATCTATCTATCTATCTATCTATCTATCTATCTATCTATCTATCTATCTATCTATCTATCTATCTATCTATCTATCTATCTATCTATCTATCTATCTATCTATCTATCTATCTATCTATCTATCTATCTATCTATCTATCTATCTATCTATCTATCTATCTATCTATCTATCTATCTATCTATCTATCTATCTATCTATCTATCTATCTATCTATCTATCTATCTATCTATCTATCTATCTATCTATCTATCTATCTATCTATCTATCTATCTATCTATCTATCTATCTATCTATCTATCTATCTATCTATCTATCTATCTATCTATCTATCTATCTATCTATCTATCTATCTATCTATCTATCTATCTATCTATCTATCTATCTATCTATCTATCTATCTATCTATCTATCTATCTATCTATCTATCTATCTATCTATCTATCTATCTATCTATCTATCTATCTATCTATCTATCTATCTATCTATCTATCTATCTATCTATCTATCTATCTATCTATCTATCTATCTATCTATCTATCTATCTATCTATCTATCTATCTATCTATCTATCTATCTATCTATCTATCTATCTATCTATCTATCTATCTATCTATCTATCTATCTATTTATCTATCTATCTATCTATCTATCTATATATCTACTTATCTATCTCTTATTTATATCTAGATCAACTGAGAAATAGATAGATCAACAGAGGTTTGGAAGTCTCGGAAATGGAGTATAATAAAGACAGACCCTAGAGTTATTCCTAACATCATCATAAACTTTTTAGATGCCAACCGATCACTGAGAAAGCTCAACATATATCGAGAAAAGTAATTACCGGCACTAAAAGGGCACAATGTCATCATACCCTCTCAAACGCTTTGAAATATGGATTAATATAGCAGTACTGTAGGGTTGAATATTGTACAATTTAACTTTCGTATAGTTTTAATGAATATAGCGTTGTTATGTATTTCATAATATGTACTTATTGTACATTGAAACATTTTATCATTTTGCCAATGAATGGCTGTCTGTCTGATGGTTTATAGATGCATGTATGTGTATAATCAAGATAACGATTATTACATTGTTCAGATACACAAATGTTTGTCTCCATTTACAAAATTACATATAAATTTTAACATTTTCATATGTGTTTTGTTCAGAGCTGTGTGTCAATTTTGAAGTTTTTATCTTATCATTACTTGATATATACGTTTTATATCTTACAAAATAAATTTTATTGAGCTCAAATATGCGGAAATTCTTTTTATTATTGTGTTGCCTTATTTATTGTTGGTTAATTTATATGGCAGATTGTATTAGTTATAAGTTATTGAATTACACAGACCAATAAATTTGAAAACTTTGAGTTGCTCTAAATCTGAATCAGAATTCACACATAACATCAGGTTTTCAAGTTATCTTATTTTAAAGTTTCAGAAACACCATAGTATTATGGTGTCAGAGACCTCAAGATTTTCTTTTTGCATTTCAAATACTAGGCCAAATTTTTATTAAATTTGTACAGACTGAACTTAATTTAAACAGAAGGTATTTTGATAGACTGTTATTTCGTTTCCCTGTCTGCCACACACTCTCTGTCCGTCTGTCTAGTTGTACTAAATATGTTGGTTAATTTTTTTTTCCTGTGAGTCCACTGCATAAATGACAACAAATATTGTTTGTAGAATAACAAACACAACAACCACATAATGCAATAAAACAATAGATTTATTACATTTAACAGTTTGCTAAAAATTTACTAGTGCCAATAACCCAGCAAACATAAAGGGAATAAGTTTGAATTTTGTCGATTATTCTAAAATTCATTTAAAAGTTTTCTTGGCTATTCATACTTTTAATAAAAATTGTTGAATGAATGACAATTACAATTTAAACTAAACCTCCATGTTTTGTTGGGTTTCTTTTACTCCACAAACATACGCATTCATTCACTCATACACAAACAAATACAATACGCAGCAAATATGCAGATATGCTCCCCAGCCACAATGACAACAAATGGAAAAAAGAAAGAAAAATACAGTAGCAACACATTCTCTGCAGCAGAGCAATAAAACAACAACAACATATTGCGGAAAATGCGCTGTTACTTCCGAAGACATTTTCGGTCTGGGTCTACTTTTTGTTTATAGATTTTTTTCCGAAATGATTTAATTTTAGCGATATGATAAGAAATTATACTACACACATATATAACTAAACAAGTATTGTTGTAGTTGTTGTCGCTGTATTAAAAGGTAGGGAATACAATAACTACAAATAAAAAAAAGATAATAAAAAAAATGTGTCAGTATGCAAAACAGGATGTTATAAACTTTAACATTCTTTTTTTTTTGTTTTGCATTTCTTACTCCTCTTTCTCTCTCATATTTTTTTTTTGTTTGTGGCTTGCTGTGAGATGTGTTGTTTTTTGCATTCTGTAATTGTTTTTATTGCAATTGTTTGTTTGAAAGAAAAGTTTAATGTTAAACTGAAGTTTTATGTTGTTGTTGCTTGCTGGTGATGTTGATGATGATGACGATGGCGTTGTTGACATAAAGTGAGGAAATATGTATTTGTGTGAATATTGTGCCAATGTGTTTTTAATGTGTGAAGCAGTGTTGATTATTATAAGAGGTACACTTAAGGAAAAATCTATATAAATATCGTATTCATGGTATCTTTCGAATCTTTCGCATGTGTAGTATCTTTCGTATTTATCGTATAGATGCTATA